TAGATAGATAGATAGATAGATAGATAGATAGATAGATAGATAGATAGTTGGTAGATAGGTAGAAGGTGGATGGGTGGGTGGGTGATGGATGGAAAGATGATGGATGGACAGACAGGTTTATTCTTGAACTCCTTTGAAATTAAAGAATTAAAATGAAACTAATCAGGGTTATTACTGCTTTCTCCATATAATGTTAAGTTCAACAACTCTTTTTTTTTTCATTTCATGCTTCCTTGCATGATCCCACTTCAATTCTGTCTTTGCAACTTCGGCATTCTGGCTACTGCGTGGAGTAGCATCAGCAACTAGATGACCAGAAGGCTAAATCCGTCATGACCACCACCGATATTCTGAGAGATCCTCCAATTTTCTTCAGTAGTATTTTTGAGCGCGATCCAACTGATCATCCAGCACTACATCAATAATCATTGTATCTTATCTATCCATCTGGTTTTCTTTGTAAATAACTGGAGCGGCTTATCAGTCCTTCTCCTGTGCCATTGTTGCCCAAGTGATCGTCTGCCTCTAGCATCTTTTTATATCGCTGCTGTTGACCTAGAAGTGCCTGCTTAAATTTAACTGGACAGCTGAAATGACCTTTCTTTCTCTCTCCCCTGGCAGACCTGAGTAGAGCCTGAAATATGGTTTGGTTTTTTTCTAGGTTCTAAGATAATACCGTCCAGAGGCCAGAGACCTAAATGGAAATACTTTGACCACATAAGCTAGTTCTATTCCACACAAGGGTCAGTAAGACAAATGTTGGCATAGGCACGTTGGTAACAGATCTGATAGTAGTAGAAATCGATCTGCACCAGTCGACTGGCTAGAAAGATCAGAGTTTTGATATCAAGCATCAAGAGGCCTTGAGTGTGAGTGTTCAATGGGCGGAACTCAACCAGCGTTGATGAACCTAAGCTGCTTCAGAAGGGACAGTCCACGAGACACCAACTTTTAAGTTCTAAAAGTGTGTGGAAATATTATTAAATATGTGGGTAATATTTAATTGCTTTACTGCAATTTTAATTTAATTAAATTTCAAATTAAATCAATGTTAGTTGTTCTTCCTTCTCCTCCTTCTATTCTTCCTCCTTCTCCTCCTTTCACCTCCTCTTCCTCCTTCTTCCTCTTCTTCCTTTCTTCTTCCTCTTCTCCTTCCTTCTCCTCCTCTTCCTCCTTCCTCCTCCTTTCT